TCTAGAACGACGTCCTTTCCGCCTTCCATGGCCGCTACCACGGCGGCACTTCACCAAGCCCTCGCACCTTCCGCCGGGTCTTCTCACCATGCGGCGCTCTCGCCGACTCCAAGCCGCAACGTCCATCTCCCCGCCGGCAATTTCTCGCAGTGCCTCGACTCGGCCATGGCAAAGGCCGTCGTCGCGCCGCCCGATACGATGAACTCGAGGCTTCTCAACTCGCCGCACTCCGCCGCCTCACCGCGCCACACCTCGCCGCACACCTCGTCGCCGCGGCCTCCCCACCCCGCTATCATCGTGCCGCCGCTTGCCGCGCGCGCGGGAGCGGTGAGGGCGACCGCGACGGGGGAAGGCGGCGGGCAGGCGCACAATGATGCCGCCGCCGCCGCTGCCGCTGTGAGTCCAGCAGCGGAAGATCAGAGCGACGGCGCCACCGACGGGGCGGCGGGGGGGAGCGCGGAGAGGTCGGGTGGGAGCGGCGGCGCGATGGAGATGAAGACGTGCCGACGATGCCGCGCGGCGTATGACCCCCGATACAACCACGCACACGCGTGCAGGTGAGGCGCGAGGGGCGAGGAGCGAGGGGCGTGGGGCGAGGGGCGAGGGGTTGATGTGGGTGTGAGCATGAGAGTGTGGCGGTACAGAAGGCGTTGAAAGACGGCCTTTTAGCCTGTGAAGGGCGGGATGCATCACGCCATGAATCATGCCCCGCTGATGGCGGTCATGCATCGACTCTCCAGCACTCCTGGCGATGGCAGTGACTCCGACTCGCAGCCGTCACATGGCAGTCTGGCCCGGATGCCTCTGCAGGCAAGCAGGCGCCATTACTTTCAAATTTGGGCTGGGTTGAGCGGCCACGTTGCACCGGATTCATTAGTTCTCACGGCCGTTTCTACCTCCAGCTCTGTCCCCTGCTCTCCTGCGTCCTCTTCCTTCGCCCACCGCAAAGTACCCAGTGCTATTATGGTCTGTGTGGGTGAATGCACGGCAGCGTGCGCTGTGAACACTCACGATACCCACCACTGCTGCCTCTCCATGGCATTCCCAACTCCTCTCTCTGTCCGTCTCTCCGTCTTAGTTGTTTTTATCATCTCTGCTCCCCGCCGCCCCCCCTTCCTCCGATTTCCACTCCCGCTCAAGCTTGTCAGGCCCATCTAGGAAGCCCTTTTGCCCGCCCCCTAGAAAACCCTGGTGTCTGCCCACATCCTGTGTGGCAGGTACCATCCTGCGCTGTTCACAGGAGGGGAGAGGGGCAAGGCAGTGGGTTTCACGAGAGCCAGCAGTCGTCCGGAGGACCAACTGAGCGTGGTGCACGGCACAGGGCTGCTCAGATTCTGGGACTGCTGTGGCGCCATGGATGCCAGTGCACCGGGATGCACGCATGGACGCCATGTGTCCTTTGATGAGCTTGAATAGCAGCTGCTGTTGATTGGACTTGCAAAGCGTCTCTGCTGGGTTGCACCAAGAAAGGTGGACGATATGTGGTTGCTACCTGCCCTAAATAACTCTGCTTGGTTTGGTATGGGTAGGTGTATCGCTCCAAGGCAAATTCCAATCATGATTGAGTACACCCCTGAATAATTCCTATCTGCCGTGTATCTTTTATCTAATCAATTGATGGTCGTTTGAACGTTAGAGTATTGTCACCTTTCATTTTGTATTTTCCCATACCAGCGTTTGTTCCCTCAAGGAAACTGGAGAGCACTCAATGAAGTATCGAATAATCGAAAACTGGGACACAGATTCTTTTGACACGATGGCTCTTTTTGCTACGTCATTTGCACGTGGCTTCGCTGACGAAACTGTGGAACTGCAGACGTGGTATGCCTCGCTGGACCCTCGCTGGACCCACAGTGCACTCTCGGAACACACACCAGCAAGTTCTAACCGCGCTGTGCTTTGGCAGGCTCTCCGCCAAGTACACTTCAAGATTGCCAAGAAAGCAGCGCCGAGAGGAGACTGCCTGATTCGTCCGCGTTGGCATCGCGCTTTCACCTTCCACTGTCGCTCCCCCGCATGCACCTGGTGCGCCACGTCATCCCCCCCACCCACCCCCCTCCACCTCCCTCTCCTCAAGGCATCACGTCACAAATTCATGGCACGGCGCGGCATCCCCCCAATGCAAGCAAGATGCGCGCAAAATCTTCCCCCGCTCTTCTTGGCTCGAATTCTGCATAAATGCGCGCCACCCAGTCTGCAGCATGTAGATTTGCCAACATTTGCTGCCAGAGCATTCTCGAATCTTGCTGCCACAACCATTCAATTTCCATATTCGTGTTGAACACAGTCCGAGTAGCCTTCCCGTCATCTTCCACAAATTCCGGCGCTTTTCAGTCTCCCTTACCCACGACACAATGGCGTCTCTTCTCGCCGCCCCGACCGCCGTCTCCCTCGCATGGTCGTCGCAGCTCGTTACCCGCACGTCCGCCATCTCTGCACGAGCTACTCGCGCCGCCGTCGCGCGCGCGTCGCCGCGTCGCCTGGTGTGCGTGGCGTCGGAGCGGTCCGTGCACCGCGAGGAGAAGGAACACGTGCTGGTGCGCGTGAACCTCGGCGATCACCGCGAGAACCTCGAGGTCGAGTCGCGCGGCGGCGAGGTGTACTGGGTGCCGCTCGGCAAGCCGCTCGGCATCGTCTTTAAAGGTGAGCTGCTGCTCGCGCCGTATCCGAATGCGGAGTGCCTCTGTCTGGGTGCTGACTGAATGCTGACTGAATGTTGACGGAATGTTGACTGAATGCTGGCTGCGCGACGGAGAGTTCTCTTTCTCTCTGGCATCTGGTTCTCCCCCATGGGTTGAGCAACGGCGACGTTGAGTTGCGACCAACTGTTGAGGACTCTCGGGCAACGGCGAGTTGCGATGTCAGGTTGGTCCAAGGGTGTGGTTTGGCGTATAGTAGCGCGCGATACGGCTCAAGCTTCAAGGCGCAGCATCGACTCGCGATGCCACGAGGTTCTTCTCAAGCTGCTGTCGCATGTCGCAGCGTGTCGCACATGTCGCACGTGTGTCTTTTTCTTACTCTCCGTCTTTTCTAGTTGGGCCTGGATTTCGCCGAGCCGAACGTGAAGGGCGCTAAGCCGTGCGTTTCCCGAACCCATTCACTCTCCCTCTCTCGTGGATGTCGCGTGTCGCACGTCGCATGATGTCGCATGGATGTCAGAGAGTGCGACGGGCGACATCATCGTGGACGACGTGAAGCACGGCGGGCACGCGGAGCACGCGCCCATCCACAAGGTGCGACTGGGCGACCGCCTGCTGGCGACGACCGCGCGAAACAACGCGCCGACCAGCACCGACAAGTTTGCGACGGAGCCCGTGGTGCTGAACGTGGCGGGCGAGCGCTTCGAGACGGTCATGGCGGCCATCACGTCGAACGCATCGTATGGCGGAGATGTCATCCTGGTGCTGGAGCGACCCGACGAATGCGACCTGTAGAGGCGCGGACGAACGGTCGAACGGACGAAGGGACGAAGGGACGAACGGCATGGCATGATGGCATGAAGCATGAAAGTTTAAATAGATTCGCTGCGAGAAAAAAAAGGGCGGGGCTGGGGTCGCTGGGGTCGCTGGGGTTGCTGGAGGGCGGGGCTGAAACGGGGTTGGCGCTGCATGCGCTGTACAGAGGAACGAATCCCGCTGCTGCTGACACGTGGAAGTACCGGCGGTGGTGATTCGATGGGCTCTTGGTTGGGAAAAATCAATGGTTTTTTTTTCAAGAAAGGTTGATATTGCGGTTTCTGGGTTGAGATAGTGGAAGGGGGTGGGTAGAAGATGGTTGTTTTGATGTTCGGCTGTACATTTGACATATATATGCAGAATTGTCCGTGTTTAAAGAACATTTTCTCTGGTCCCACTCCTCAGTGCTCTCTCTCTCTCTCTCTCTCTCTCTCTCTCTCTCTCTCTCTCTCTCTCTCTCTCTCTCTCTCTCTCTCTCTCTCTCTCTCTCTCTCTCCCTCCCTCCCTTTCCCTCGCCCTCCCTCTTCCGCTCCCTCTCCCTCTCCCTCTCCCTCTCTCTCACACACGCACTCTCTCACTCAAACTCACACACACTCTCTCTCTCCCGCACCCCCTCCCCCATATCTACGTTCCTCCTTCCTCTCCCCCCCATCAAACACACATTCCTGTGTGCATCTCATCGCACGATGCCACCATGATGCCACTACGATGGCACCATGATGCCACCATCTATCAGAGGCGCCTGACGGAGCTGTGCTGGTGGATGAGCTCGTGCCACGTGGCAATGCTGACAAGGCACAACCACCCATCCAGCCTGGCGACAGGCTGCTTGCCACGTCAGCGTGGACCTCTGACCCTGACTTGCAGCGGCGGCAGGTGATGTTCAAGGCAGTGGGGGAGCCGTTTGACACTGTTATGGCGGCCATTGGGTCTAACTGGTGTGCCAACTGCCATGTGGACGTGGTGCTGGAGAGGGAACGAAAGAGTGAATAACATAGCTTGTCTTCTTACTGGTACATGGAAAGAGAGGTGGAGCGAGCTGAGCTGTTTCCAAACATAGATAACCCGTTTGTGCAAATATTGAAACTGCTTTTGCCTTCAACACATGCTTGCTAGGGGGAACTAGCCCAAGTGTTTCGATTTGAATCACATGGCATTGGCACTTACATCTAGAGGTGGAATACTTGAAACATTTCAGAGCAGGCACATTTCAGAGTTTCGTTTCGGGTGTAGTATAGTGTCTATTTGGGCAAGCCAAAAACACAAAACCAAAAATGCCCAATAACATGCAAGAACAGAACAGCCTACCCTAAACCCGAAACCCTTGGAAATGAATGAACCATCTTATGTCCCCTGCACTACCCTATGTATGTACACAAGTGCGAAGCCACCGCACTGCAGTGCTCAACGTTCCAACTACCACACCTCATCACCTTGAATTCGCCCGAAGCAGCGTTGCCAGGCCTGTCGAGTGACCTTGTAACGAGGGGACTGATGAGTCGGCTCAAAAGACTCTGTGTTGCTCATGGTTGCGCTCCAACACACCCGATGCATGCAGTGCAGTGCAGTGCATCAGCATCACCTTGAGTTGGCCAGCAGCAGCGTCGCCAGGGCCTCACAGATCTCAGCCGGAGTCGCATCCTCCTCCTCCTCATCCTCCTCTCCCTCTCCTCCCATCATTTCTTTCGCGCCCTCTGCAGCCCCCACCGCGGCTGCTGCGACAGCCCCCCCAACAGCAGCGGCAGCACCAGAGGCTCCACTAGGTAGCTCACTGCGAGCACTCAAACCCCCACCTGCATCACCCGGGACACTGCTGCTGCTCTTGCCACCACCTGCATCACTACCACTGCCACTCCCCAGCTCCTCGTCCCCTCCCCCCTCCTCCTTCCCCCCATTCTCCTTCCCACTGCTCTGCCCCATGGAGGGGAACACCATAAACCCGTGGTCCATCTTCCTCCGCGCGCGCACCACAATTGACCCGGGCACCTCCGCATCCGCCCGCGTCACCAGCCCATCACTCTCCGCCCCGTACCGATTCTCCAAGTACAGCGACAGCGCGGCCAGCGCAGCCGAGAGGGGGAAGGCCAGGGCGAGCTTCTGGCTGGTGCGCGCGAGCCAGGGGATCTCGGTGTGCGTGATGGTGGAGAGGGACGCGACGACTGCAGGGGCGCGCGAGGCGTGCGTGTGGAAGGAGAGGCACGGGATGGAGGGCGGGAGTGGATGATGCGCGAGGAAGGCACGCCGGCGCGCGTAGGTTAGGTCCTCCAGACAGCGGATGTCGCCCTGGGGGGGTGGGGGGGGGATGAGGGAGGAATGGAAGAGGGATGGGGGAGGAATGGGCGGAGGAATGAAGGAGGAACGTGGGAGACATAGGAGAACGGGGAGAAGGGGGGCAACGGGGGAAAATGGGTGAAGTGGGGGAAGAAAAGGGGAGGAATTAGGGGCTGTGAGCAGGGCGGACTTTGGTGAGGACAACGGAGGAGGACACAAATCTCATGACAACCTACATACATGCTTCATGGCACTTCATCTCACCTTCAAAATGCTTCATTCCATTCCACCACAGAGAAAAGGTCCATCCATCCCACCACAAACCAGTTTTGGCCCAATTTCATCCACTCGGTTTCTCACCTCACTTCGGGCCGTTTCCGCCCATCCCACCCACCTTGAAGAGCTTATCCAGCAGCAGCTGCAGCAGGAGTTAGCTGAGAAGCACACCTTACACACTTGGATCCTCACCTCAACTCAAGCCAGTTCTGCCCACCACACCCACCTTGAAGAGCTTGTCCAGCAGCAGTTGCAGCACGGAGCGCAGCGTGCCGTTCCCCAGCGACCCCTCCCTGAGAATATCCGACGCCATGGGCGTGCCGCCGTACGGGCTCTGCATGCACACCAGCCCCGCCACGGTGCCGCTGTTCATTTGATCAGGAAACAGCGCCAGTGCTGCTGCTGCGTCCAGCCCGCCCTTGCTATGCCCTATGAGCAGCACACGCCTCCTCCTCCTTCTCCTGGTGCTGCTGCCACGGTTCTCGTTTTCCGTGTCGCTGCTGGCGTTGCTGCCGCCACTCCTTCTGCTGCTGCCACCATGGTTGCGAACTCCCATTTTCTGCCGCTTGGCACTCTTCTCTTCCCCAGCGTTGCCACTGCTGTTGCTGTAGCCGCTGCTGCTGTCACGGGCTGGAAAGCCATGGGCGTAGATCTCCTGGCCCTCGTCAGCCTTTCCTGCCAGCAGCGCTGCCACCGTGTCCCTCAGCACGCGTGCATTCGCCTCCACACCCGCCTGGTGTGGCAGAGGGAGACAGGGAGAAACACACAGACGGGGGAGAGCAGAGACGGAAAAACCAAGTGAGTGCAAGCAAACCCGTGCCCATCCGCGCACGTGCATTCGCCTCCACGCCCGCCCGGTGTGGTAGAGGGAGAGGTGCTCAGACAGGGAAAACTGGGGATGGAGAGGCAGAGGTATGGAGGGGAGGGAACAAAGAAGCACATGTGAAGGACGGCAGACTGCAAGAGCAGTATAGAAGGGTCCACCACCAGGCACACGGCCCTGGTGAGCGAAGAGTGAGCGAACTGAGAGAGGCGAGAGTGGAAGGGCGGGGAGGGGTGAGTGACGGAGGGGGCTATGGAGAGACATGGATCGCTGAACCCGAAACCCTGCAAGTACCGCTTGAGACAGGGACATGCAGACGCACCTGGCTGTCGATCTTGGCGATTTCACAAGTGAGGCCCAAGGACGAGAAGTGCTCCCTGGTGTCCAGTAGATACAGCGGACTCAGGTTGCTGAACAATCCTGCACAGGCCATAGCATACAGCACACAGCGCACATACAGGAAACAAGGTGTCATGGTGAGGGCCTCGAGTAAGACGGGAAAATAGACAGAATGGTGGCAGCAACAAATTTTGCGGTTCTGAGTTCTAGGTTCGACAAGTACTCCTGAGCAATCCGGTGCAAGGCCTCTGAAGTGTGTTCAGAAAGCGGTTCTGAATAGCAGGCACATGGGCATGCGGATGGCGAAAGCTCTAGCTGGTGGTGGGCACGAGGAGTGGAGGAGAGGGAGAATGGAACGACGTGCATTCTTGTGGTACTGCGCTTGCAGTGGGATTGAGATGGGGGGAGGAGAAGCACACGAGACGATGAGGTCGCGGCAAAGGAAGAGCAGGAGGTGGAGTTGAAGATGTGGTGGAGAGAGGCGAGAGCGATGCGAGGGTGAGGTGAGGTGAGGGGTGATGCCGCACGAGCTACATGCGGTGACGGGCGACTAAACACGGTGCAACTAAACATGGTGCAACTAAACATGGTGCAACTAAACATGGTGCAAGGTGTGCAGTGCATGTTGACTGGTGCATGAGAGCAGGTAAGGCTGCAGGGGACAGCATGACGGAGGTGCGAGAATAGGTGGTAGACAGGCACCTGCTGAATGGAACTACCTGGGATGAGGAGGTAAATGAGGTCGTCCGGGAGCAAGTGCTGGCCCTGACTGATGATATGGCATGGTGGATGCATGCACACATGCACACATACATACATGCATACATCCATGATGCATGCATGCAAAACAGCACATGCGAATGGGCACGCTCAGAGGCCGATGCACCGATGCAGATACATGACCGAATGCACACGCGCGTGCATACAGAATACTCAAGAAAGAATGAGAAGAAGGGTAGTGCGACTGTAAGGCAGAAGCACGGAACGAGAGAGAGAGAGAGAGAGAGAGAGAGAGAGAGAGAGAGAGAGAGAGAGAGAGAGAGAGAGAGAGAGAGAGAGAGAGAGAGAGAGAGAGAGAGAGAGCATGAGTCCCTCCCTAGCTATTTAAGCTCTCTCCCTAGCTCATTCTTCCAGTTTAGTTTCCAGTTCTTTCTTTTCTCCAACCCTTGGTGGCGGGAGAGAGGAGAGAGAGAGCGAGAGAGAGAGAGAGAGAGCATGAGTCCCTCCCTAGCTATTTAAGCTCTCTCCCTAGCTCATTCTTCCAGTTTAGTTTCCAGTTCTTTCTTTTCTCCAACCCTTGGTGGCGGCTCGCGTCGGCGGCCTTCGGCCGCCGACGCTCGCAGCGCGGCCTTCGGCCGCGCGTGAGGGGCGGCAAGGACACAAGGCTTCGGAGTCAACTACGACAACATCAAATACACACATCCGGGGTCTACAACCCGCCAACACTACACACGGCAAACAAGCATGGAGAGCCTGACAGAGCTTACCAGAGCGCTCACGCTAGAGCGCACTTCACCAACCAGAACCTACACACGACGGCAGCCCATCATGCGGCTTCGTCCGCTCCAGCCTCCTCAAGCAGGGCCCTCACATAGTCCCCCAGGAGCATCAGCGCTGACACGGCACCGCCAACGATGTCTACAGCTGCAGCCGAGTCTACGCTCGCCGATACTGTCCGCATCACGGCGAGCAGGCGCGGGTCCAACACGGTTCCCGAGGCGGGCGCAGGCTGCACTCGCGTGGACACGACCGCCAGATCCGCTGCAGCCATCGCGCAGCGATGGAGCGGATCGTGAGGCATCTTGCACGGGCTCACTGAGCTCCGTAGAACGGAGTGTGAGTCCGTCAGCATCTCCACAGCATACCCCATCGCCCTCTGCGCGTGCCAGAGCCGACGAAGCGTGGCGACTGGGATCGCAGTCTCCGCCAGCCGCCCCCTCCCCCGCAGGCGCTCCAGCTGCGCCCTCGGCGGCATCCGCAGCCCACCCGAGCGACGCCACCCCTGGTCCCCAGGAGGCGAGTCCTCGCCCGTGGATTCCGCTCCCCCCATCTCCGCTGCTTCTGCCCCCCCCTCAACTCCAGTCGGTGACGCCAGCGAACGGCGGGGGGGGACAAAGGGCGCTGTCGCCCGCCCGCCGAACGATACTGGTGCCTCCAACGGCGGTGGGCCACGGGACCATCCTACCACCGACACATCCGGGGGCGTCGGCTGCCAGGGCTGCAGTGTCTCCGCGGACCGCACGTCCAACCGACGCGGATCGAAGGGACCGGCCGAGGGAAGGACCGGCGGAGGTGGTGCGGAGGGAAGGGACGCCAAGAGGTGCGGGCTGTCGAGGAGCGGGAGCGCTGCCACACTGCGGGGAGGGAACGCCGGCGCCGGCGCCTGAGGAAGGGGTAACCGCACGGGCTGCGAGTGCGCCGGCTGGTACTGCTGGGACGCCAAAAGCTGCGGAGAATACGCCAGAGCCTGCTGGGGTTGGGCGACACTGCGGAACAAGCCCTCGAGAGTCGCCGCGGCCCGCCCTAGGCGCCTCTCCGCTGCGGACCCACGGTTACTCCCCCCGCCAGCCCTCCAGCCGACGCGCTGGCCCGCACGCCCGCGCGGCGCCTGCGGCGTCCGGCGCTGCTGCCCCGGCCCCGCCTGGGGGCGGCGCTGAGGCGTCCCTCGGCGAGAGGGACGCTGCTGGCGCGGCGACTGATGCTCCTCGCCACGCGCCACTGGTTCACGTCCAATATCCAAGGCGCGCTCAGGGGATTTCTCCTCGTGTCTCTGGGGCGCGGCAGTCCTGCCCCGCGACTGCCCCCGCATCCGCTCGGGAGTCTGATGGCGAGCCGTCGAGGGGACGAGGAGCCCGCGCTCCCAATCTCGGTTCGACGGTGCTGGAGGACTCGCCCGACCTTGGGGGGACGCGCTGTCCCCAGTACTCTCCAAATCGGCAGAACGCTCCCGCGCTGGTCGCTCCATCCCGAGGAGGCGCGCCGCACTCGGCACCCCCCATGACTCGGCACAAAAGCCGAACGACGACCAGGGCCGCCCCGAGGGGAAACCACGGAGGCGGACGCGGAAGCCTCAATACACGGACGGCCGGAGGGCGCGGTCGCGGGGCTGCAAGGCGTGGCAATCTGTCCTCCGACGGAGGACCGCTAAAATTCCAGCAGGCAGCGAACAGGGCTTTAAGTGCCTCGGAACTGCAACGAACAACTGATGAGGAGGAACGGGCAGACGGAACTTATATCCCAGGGGACCAGGGAGACCCCACGCCTGAGACCTCCAGTGAGGAGGAAAACGTCGAAACAAACAGGCGCGCTGGAGGACGAGAGACTGACCCAACTCCCAGATCTAGGGGACGAGGGTCCAGCCGCATGCACAATACTCGGGCACCGCTGGACACCCATCCCCAGGCAGTCCCGCAGTTGTCCCCGGAAGAACTGGCGAATGACCCCTCCCGATTCGCCGTCATCGCCACTTGGGACGTCGCGGCCCTCTGCGACAGTCGCCAACCCCCTCTCTCCCGCCGGTTACCCCCCCAAATCCGTCAACTTTTCGCGCTCGCCCTTCTGACACCCCTCCTTTTCCTCGCCAAACATCCAACCTCCATTGAGGGTTGGATCCTGTTACTTTACCTCCCGCGCCTCACACTTCGCCTACCCTCACCACGACGCCCTGACTGGCCCGCGACGGAAAGACGACTTCGACAATTTCTCGCGGGCCATTGGGACACACTGTATCAAGCAGCTGCCTCTGCTGTCACCATGCCACCCCCTCCCCGCCACGTACCTGACACTCTTGGGAAAATATCCCGCGCCGAGGGCTTGGTATGCCGAGGCAGTTTGCGACGGGCTCTGCTCGCGTTGACTTCGACCCCAGTCAGCAAGTCCACCCCCACGGTGCTGGACGCGCTGAAGTCAAAACACCCCCCTCCGCTTGTCGAAAGCCTCACCTGGCCACGGCTTGACGAAAACTGCAGGCCGCCGACAGTCGATTTCGCTACGTTCGCCAAGCTCCTCTCTCGCTCCGAAAATGGAGTTGGGGCAGGCCCCTCGGGGATGACCTTCGAGCACCTTCGCGACGCCTCGCTGTCCAACCCCACCGTCGCCACAAACCTCCACAAGCTCGTCCAGCGGCTACTGGCGGGTAACCTGCCGCACGAAGTCAGCCAGCTCGTTACCTCCTCACGCCTCCTGGCCCTTACCAAGCCAGATGGGGGTACCCGCCCCATCGCAATAGGAGAGTGTCTCCTTCGGCTAGCGGCAAAAGCCGCGCTAATCTCCTCCACGCAATCCGCGCAAGATTACTTCCTACCACACCAATACGGGGTAGCCATCAGGAGCGGCGGAGAAACCATTATCCATGCCACCAGGGGTTTTACCTCAGCGCGCCCGGGCTCACTCATCCTACAAGTCGACCTTTCAAACGCCTTTAATAGCGTTGACCGCACGGCCATCATCCACGCCATTAACACCTCGCCCCTGCGCCCGCTCCTCCCCTTCATTCAATTCTCCTACGGAGCACCGTCGCTGCTCTACCTCGACGCCGAGTTCGACAGCCCACCCCTACTCAGTGCGCGGGGAGTTCGCCAAGGGGACCCCATGGGCCCCCTCCTCTTCGCAGCCGCCATCCACCCAGCGCTCCGAACAACCGCCGCGGCCCACCCCGAGGTCCTCTGCCTCGCGTACGCCGACGACATCACCTTCGTCGGCGATCCGGACTCCTGCACCTCGGCGTTCCTCAACTTCACAGCGGCCATGGACCGCATCGGTCTCTCCCACAACCCCGCGAAATGCGCGGCGTGGTCAGCCGAACGCCCTGCACCTGACCACCTTCCCCCAGGCATACCTTTCAACACAGAAGGTGTCCGCATACTTGGCAGCTTTATAGGCACCGCCGAGGGCACAGCTGCATTCCTCCGCACCCAGCTGTCCCTGCTAGCCGAACCCCTCGCCACACTGGCCACAATGGACCCCCAGTCCTCATCCCTCCTCCTCACACGCTGCGTTTCTCGGCGTGTCTCATACTTAATCCGCACCACCCCCCTTGACTTCCTTCCCCTGGATGTCTGGTCCGACTGGGGTAGGGAGCTCTTCCATACCCTCCTGCGTGCCTGCAACCTCCAACCACCCCGAGGCGAGGTGGAGCGGGTGCGCACTTGGGCTCAAGCGTCCCTCCCTCCCTCTCTTGGAGGACTGGGTCTAACCGACCCCGCCATTGAGGGACACCCAGCCTACCTCACCAGCCTCACCCAAGCCCAGGGCCTCTTGGCTGCCCTACCAGCAGCGTCAGGAGGGCCCCTGGCCGACGCTGTCCGGCACCTCACGCCACCTTTCACCAGCCCCACCCACTTGCATACCTGGCTGGCGAAGTGTGAAACGGCGATGCCCCCACGAGCCCGGGAGCTCCTGCACTCCGAGAGGAGGGAACCCTCCGGCTCCCCACTCCAACACCGCTTATCCCTCGAAGTCCAGGCTGTGCGATACGCCGGCCAGGTGGCAGCCACGCGGACAATGGACCCAAACCCACTCTCTGGGCACACCCAACGCCTCTTTTCCCTGGCTGGATATGGAGCAGGGGACTGGCTTCATGCCATCCCCATCTTCCCATCCCTCCGCCTCGAAGCTCCACACTTCGCCATTGCCCTGGCCTTCCGCCTCGGCCTTCCATTCCCAGCCCCCCGCACTTGCAACTGCGCCGAGGAATTCGAAATCCTCGACACCAGGCTGCCCAACCACCTGCTCCGGTGTGGCACCGGGCACGGACGGACTGACACCCATAATGCCCTGCGGGACGAGAGCATACGGATGGCCCGAGATGCTGACTTTATAGTCACCAAGGAGACCACCATCTACAGCCCCGTAGACGGCCACAAGGCCGACCTCGCCCTCCGAGACCGCAGTTCCGGAGCTGTCTGGATCTGTGACGTCACCGTCACAGATCCCATCAGCAGCCGGGACCCGGACGCAAGAAAAGGACGCGGATACATGGCCCGGGAACAAGCTGACAAGAAAATCTCCCACTACCGAAATCGGGCTCCCTATGTCGGATTTTTCCCACTGGCAGTCGAGACATACGGCTGCCCCTGCGCCGAGGTCCCTACCTTCTTGAAGCTGCTGGCTGACACAGGGGCCAGGAGACTTTTCAATGCAGACCCCAGCTCCTACCAGGCAGCGAAACTGCTCCACCAGTTTCGCCAGCGCTGGTCAGTGACGCTGCAGCGGGCACAGGCCTTGGCTTACCTGGGAAAAGTTAATGAAGCCTCCCCGGCCCCCCACACCCCAGTGGGCACCCCTGACGCCGACATGGCACCTGGGGACTGCTTTGCCATAGCAGAGCCCCTAGGGGAGCTTGAGTAGATTCGAGCCCTTAAACATGCACGTACCTTGACTTGTTGCCCCTTGCCTGCCTAGCCTGTACCCAGTTTTCCAAGCAATAAACGGACCGCTTGAGAGAGAGAGAGAGAGAGAGACGCTGGGAAGGGGAAGGGAAAGGAGGGAGAAGAAAGGCAAGGGAGAGAATGGCGCGGGAAGGGAGCGAGCGAGAGAAGGGAGGGAGGGAGGAGAGAGGGAGGGAGAGGTGAGGGAAGGGAGGGAGGAGAGAGGGGCGGGAGGAGAGAGGGGTGGGAGGAGGACAGAGGGAAGAGAAGAAAGTGATAGTTCTGGGGGGCGAGGCAGGTGGCGGTGGGATGGTGGAGAAATACCCAGAAGAGAGAAAGAACGGGGAGCGATGCTTGCAAGCGATGTTTGCAACGGGACTGGCAGAGAAGAGTGCGCTCACGTGACTAGGCGCGCGCGCACTCCTTCGTCTGATCACTCACAGGCGGCACCTTTGAGGCATCTCAAAGGAAGAAAAAACGTTGGCAAACGGTAGGGAATATCGGGATCAGCGTGGCTCACGTGACTTGGCGCAGTGTTTGCGCGTACTCCTTCGTCTGGTCCCTCACTGGCCGCTGCTTGGGGTCGCTGGCCAGCCACCCAATGTCGGCAGTAGAGCCCTCCACTAGCGTGGTCATCGCCGCCACTATGCTGCACGGGGGAGACGGGGAGGAAGGAGAGAGGGCGAGAGAGGGTGAGAATAGAGAGTGAGAGAGAGTGAGTGAGAGAGAGTGAGTGAGAGAGAGTGAGTTAGTGAGAGAGAGGAGGACAGGAGAGACGGATGGGGTGGAGAGAAGATTGGGGTCGTTGGCCAGCCACCCAATGTGAGTGGTGAGCTGTGGACTAGCGTGGCCATTGCTGCCAGTATGCTGCGCAGCAGAGACAGGGAGGAGAGATGGGGGAGAGAGATGGAAAGGGGAGTGAGACGGTGCTGGCAGCATGCTGATTCCAGGTCCAGGCGTCTCAAGGTAACATGAGGCAGGCATGCGTGTAATAGATGGGGCGGGGCCGCAAGCGTCGTGCTTAAGAAGCGTCTTACTGGCAGGTGCTGGGAAGGCGATGTGGAGGCGTCTGCTTGAGGATTCTTAGAAATTAAAAAAAGGTTAGAAAAAAGAAGAGAACAAGGAGAAACAAAGTGCCAATAGCGTAGCAGCACCTAACCATTTCCACCAGCAGGGATGTACCTCTGCCATGAGATTGCCGGCACGATGGCATCCGGTAGCACAGGCAGCTGCGGCAGGGCGGGCAGTGGGGGCAGGGCAGGAAGCGGGGGCAGCGGGGGCAGCGCGGGCAGCGCGGGCAGCGCGGGAGGGAAGGGTAGCCAAGGGGAGGAGGCGGAGGGAGGAGCGAGGGGAGAGTCGGAAGAGGCAGGAGAAGCGGCGGGGGCAGAAATGGTGGATTCCGGGGATGGGACAGGCTCGGAGGGGTTGATACCCTGGCTCGATTGCGAGAACGAGGGGGGGTGGGAGGAGGAGGAGGGCGGGAAGTGAGAGGGGGAGGGGGAGGGAAGGGGAGCATTAGAGGAGGGTGGAGTGGAGGGGATGATGATGCTGGTGAGATCGGAGATGGCTGAGAGGAAGCTGGATGGGGTGCTGCTGCCTGAAGGGGAGTCCGCATCAGAAAGAGGATTGGCACGCGAGTCGGCAGCAGGAGCGCCCGTGCCGTTGCCGTCGTTGGGGGTGTTGTTGTCCTTGCCAGGTGATGGCGTGGGGGCTGTTGGAAGGGAAGCATGGAGGTTAGGGAAGTGGAAAGATGGAGATAGGAAGTGAGCAGGGAAAGGAAGGGGCATGTGACCCTGCCATTAGACAGGAAACACGCTCCTACACACATGAAGGCACGATTTCGACAAACAGTGGAGATGGGTGCCGCGTGGGAATGGAGAGATGGGAAGGGTGGGAGGGGGGGTGCAGTATGGGGAGCCATATAATATGGAAAGCTATTGGATCAGGCGGCATGCGGCGCGCACACGACATGAGAGGAGGCATGAGTGGGGGGAGGGGCGAGGCGGAGGGAGGGAAGCGGAGGAAAGCAGGGGATAAGGGGCTTACCAATAACGGGCAGTGCGCTGCTTTGCGCTACAGCAGCCTGCACTCACACAAGGGAAATGGGGGCGGAAGGTAGGCGGGGCAGACAGTAAGGGGAGCGGGTGGTAGGGAGCTACGTTGGAAAAAACGCTCGAACGGCCAACGTTCGAACGCAAATGCCTAAACGCTAGGCAAACGCGCAAACGCAAGAGCGGGCTGCCTGCAAAAAAATATATCAGAATTTCGAAATTTTGAAACCAGTTTGCGACGTGCTGGGGAGGAAGAGGTGGCAGGGGTGGCAGGGGAGGCTGGTGTTAGGGTAGCTGCAGCATGGTGTGGGGGGCATAAATTGTAGTACTCGCGGCGGCTGATTGTAGGGAAGATGCATCCTGGTTGTGTTGCATGGGAGAGGAGGTAGGCGTGTGTGATGTGATGGATGGATGTTAGGTTGACTTGTGAATGTACCCTGAAACTTTTAAACTTTTATTAATAGGGGTGGTGGATGAAGGTGCCCTTCACGCCCTTCCTTTCCTTCCCCCCCCCCCCCCCCCAGAAGCCCGTTCTTTTGCCCTGCCCGAAACTTTTTTGAACCCTGCCCGGGCCAGCGTTTTCCTAGCGTTTGCTCCCCTCCTGGCCAAGCGTTTTGCGTTTAAAAGCTAGCGTTTAAACGCTAGCGTTTAAAACGCCAAACGCGTTTATTCCAACGTAGGTAGGGGGGGAGGAGGAGGGTGGGGGGTGGAGAGTATGGGGGCGCGGAGAGAAGCGGGGGTTGGAGGGAGGGGGGCCAAGGAAGAGAGAGAGAGGGGGGCGGGAGGCAGAGAAGGAGTGAGAGGAGAGAACAAGAGAGGGACCAGGTGGAAGGAGGAGGGGGATGGAGAGAGGCATAGTGTGGAACACAAGGGCAGTGGGAGCGGAAAACCGACGGTGACAAAGGAAGAATGAAATGCTGTGAAGTGTGCTTGCACCAACCATAACTTGCTGCACTCGCAACCGCCAACACCACTCACGCCGTCCACTATACAGCCACCCACTTACACACCCACCACCCCAACCACCCACCTAACCGCCCGCCCACCCGCCTGCCCGCCCGCCCACCCACCACCAACTCACTGGCCCAGACTCCCCCACCCCCCCTCCCACCCACCCGTAGTGCCTGCAGCGCCAGCAACACCCTTCCCCCTCCACCAATCGCCCCCTCATGCCCCCCCTCCTCTTCCCCCCACCTCCTCCGCGCCCGTCTCCCCCATCTCCCCCTCCGCCCCCCCAAATCCCCCACCCGCCATCCCCGTCCCCTAATCCCCCGCCTCCCCCCAGCGCTGCAGCGACGCCATTCGCCCCGCCACTGCTGCTGCTCCACAGAGACCTGCTCCCTCCGCTCCTTGCGCTCGCTCCGCCAGTCGTCCCCCCACTCGCTCCGCCGCTCGCCCCGCTCCTTGCGCTCGCCCCGCCACTCTCGCGCCCGAAACCGTGACTGCTTGTCCACTCGCCGCACCCTTGCTGCGAATTCTCAGGAATCGCCCCTCTCCTGCCGCCGCCCAGCTCGCTGCTCCACTCCGAGCGAGCCGCGAGTCGTGCAGCCGCCGCTTGAGCCGGTAGTTTCTTCAGCGACTCGTTATTGAGCGACGATCCGATACTGTTTAGCGAGCTGCGCTGCTGCCCGGCTAGAGCAGTGGGGCCGCGCGTCAGAGCAGCTGGGCTCGTCATGACGTGGCTGCTGGTGCTGCTGGCCGTGGTGGCCGTGGTGGCCGTGGTGGCCGCGTGAATAGCGCAGTTGATTGCGCCGACAACCGTCGCTGGCATGGTAACAGTTCCCGCTGCTGCAGCGATCGCCGCCGCAGTCGCAGCAGTCGCAGAGGCGGTCCCAGCGGTAGCGGCAGCGCTCGCCCGGGCGGCAGTTGGGAGCAGAAAGAAATAATCTGCTCTCAGCTGACCAGCAGTGCTAGCAGCGGCAGCGGCAGCGGCAGCGGCAGCGTCAGCGTGAGCGCGAGCGGCAGGAGCAGGTGGCGATGAGCGATCTGCCCCGCCGGTACTAGTGGCGGAGGTGGTATCCACGGCGGAGACGGAGACGATGGGGGCCTCCGCGAAGTGCGACGGGGATGCTAGCAACGACAGGAGGCCCGCAGGTTTCCGAAATCTGCGCATAGACGACGCGCGGGTGCGGTGGTGAGGGGGAAGGCTGTCGCCCGGAGACAAACAGCGGAGCACGCCTGGCGGAAGGCGCAGATGGGAGGGCGCGGAGGCGCGGAACGGAAATCGACGAGAGAAGCGGTCGCCGATGGGGCAACGGCGGTAAACTGTACGCTGATCGAATGTAAGACGCAACGCTGGTCGCCGGAAACACAGATATCGCCGATCAGTCGGGCGGGGTGTGGATCTAAGCAGCGGGCAGCTTTCGTTGAGGCTCGAGCAAAACCCACGTGGCTGGCGAGAGAATGCGGAAGGAACTACAGTACTACCTATGATGCGGAAGAACAAGCGGACGGAGAAGCCGTCGATTGGGCTACAAGCTGCTGGTGTCGGCCCGAGGATGAGCTTGTAGCTGCTTTGCAGGTGTCGCGTAGAGACCGCTGCTAGAGCCGATGGGCGGAACTTGACCGACAAATGAGCAGCGAGCGAACCAGGAGGGACGGAGGAGCGGATGAATGGCTGGGGCTCAGGTTGAAAGGGTAACTACCCGGAATAAAGAACATTAAGAGTAACTTTGGGCTGGATTCCGGAATTTTAACGGGTAATGATTCCCTGGAATCCGGAATTTATACAAGGGGGGAAGGGGTGTTCTCCGGACGAATCAGAATTACCCCGGGGGGCATTCCGGACGACCCCGCCAGAGGGACACCTCCCCCCCACCCAAATCCGGATGAAACAGAAATCAAGAACCCCCGAATCTGGACGAAACAGACAGCGTTGGGGGGGGGGGGGGGGTAGGGAGGGGATTTTCAGGGAGAAACAGAGGACTAAAAAAGCTTACCGAGAGCCCTGGCTGGGAGGTGTGCGAGCGAGGGGGGTTCCGTAGGGAGGGATGTGGGTGGGCTACAGTGATGTGTGAAGCTGTGGTTGTTTGGCGCGCTTTGGCGGCGCGCGAAAACTCATACGCGAAAACTCACTAGAAGGATGTGTTGAATATTTCAGAATTTCCAAGAATTACGACCTCAGCATACATTTTGGAGTTTAGGTCTACTATAATTAGCTTACAACTATATATCCATCACTCATAAGAAAAATTGTGAATGACAACTCCATTTGCAGATATTCCTTGGCCATTTCCTTATGTGACAGAAATAGGGATTAACCGGAAGGTCCTTGGATGTCTGAAGCATCGACTCACTGAACAAACAACGGAACGAAGAGCAATACCACTAATGTCCTAAAATCCTATTGGGCTCATCTTGCCGGTGCAAAGCAAATTTTTGCTTCTGTGGTTCGATGTTTTTCAGCTCGGTATGCCGCAAGTCCAGTGCGAGCTTGGTCTGATAAGCATTTGTTGGAACGTGCCCTCATGTCCATACACTCGTCACCTGCTGACTGCTCCACTGCATTCAACCAGGGCAAAGCTGGCACTGAAGTTCCACTTCCCATTCTCCATTTCAATGGCTTGATGCACATGCCCCTGCTCCACCCAGTCATGTTGCTTCAGCATAGTGAGTTAGTTCTCTGCTCCACCTGCTCCTGTTGCTGTCATTGTGCAAGAGGTACCCGATGCACAGAAGAGAGCCCCAGAGGGGACTGCGAAAGCAAATGGAGGAGTTGCAGCAGCACAGCACTTGTTCCTGCTGATGAATGCACGGTGACGGCCGGTAAGTGAGTATGCTGAACGGTGCCTAAAACGAAGAGGCCAGCACAGCACCGCGCAACGAAGCACTAGAAGAGGCCCACTCAGATGCACGAGGATGAAAGGCAAGCAGGGCAAAGGCTCAGCTGTCACCAGACCAATGGGGGTATGCACGGTTAGGCATCCCAGTTGTGCTGACGCACAGAGATCAGATATTTCAAATCAGAGGAGAGGGCTAGCGGTGGGCTGACTGACTGAAGGCATCCGCAATTGCTTTAAGTACCCCCGGAAACGGTTGCCATAGGAGCTGCGGTCTCCTGGTGAGCAGAAGAGTCTCCTGGTGAAGGGAAAAGATGGAAATGCTGATGGCTCAACACTTGTACCATTCCCCAAATGATCTCTCCAATGCCGCTGACTGCCTTGCTCTGCTGTTTCCCTGAGTTGCTCATTTCTCTGCGTTGCTCCTTCCTCGTGCACTGTCATCGTCTTATGCTCTCACCTGATCTCGTGCCTGCCCCCTGCTCTTATGGCGTATGTGTGACATGGCAGCCAGAGTCGATCACTCACCCACTGCATGCCTGAGCGTCCTCAGAACTTATTCTTTCCTTTCCATACCGCGAGAGGTAGAAGAAAGCAGGGCCAACAGGAACGATGACGCGAGATAGAACAAACAGGAAAGGTACCCGTTGCTGATGTTGCACTGGTGGTGTTGTGATAAGCCCCTCACCAATCATGTGTCACACCACAACATCCAGCACGCTCTTTCCTTAACCACTGCATGATCGGTTTCCCTTGCCTCATCGTTTTCAAGCCACATCCTGTCTTCTCCCTTCAGATCCCCGCATCCTGTTTGAGACGGTTCCCAGCTGTTCCCTCACTCGATACTTGTCCTTGACTCCACACGCACACAAACACCCACCCTCTCATGAAAAAATTCACAATGCACGCCCATGGCACGCACATAAACACCCACCCACCCCCCTCCCCCCCAACACACACACATGCACAAAGTCATGAGCATGCATGCACACATACAGTGCCATTGCTACATACATGCACACACAACCGAACCTCATGCAGTTTTGAGCATTACAGCATAGCCAATCCCATCTCAGACCAGAAAGCGTCAACAGTAGCGAGTCCCCAACAATGGTCATTTGGGTTCATCCGTACAGCCACCATGCGCTGCGCCTCCATCTTAAAACGACGCCCCCGTGTCACCATGAGCTTGGATCAATCGCCATGCAGTTCCTTCCTTGTAGTGTGTGAGTGCGTGTGTGTGTGCGTGTGTGTGTGCCCACCAATACAGCACAGCAGGGACACCTGACGCAACCCACTTGATACCCCATCACTAGGGCTTATTTCCCTCGCTCCCTCTCGATCTCTCTGTCACGCACATGCACATGCACATGCACATGCACACGCATTCAACGTTGCAGCGCCCCTCCGCATCTCGCGCTCTGGCCACTCTCATCCGCTTCCCCATGTTGTGATGTGAGGTGTCAAGCACCCTTAACTTTCCCAATTCCACGAGTTTCAGATCTGGAATTATTCACGTGCCACTTTGTCACTGGCTGCGCCCAAAGCAAGCGAAGATTATCAACCCGCAACGCGCCCCACCCACCAACCACCCGTGCGCCTCACCTCAAGCAGTTGTCCAGGACCCCTCTGATGCTGTGCTGCCCCGCCATATCCTCCCCCTATTAGCAGGCCACAGCGCTGCCAGTTGCTGCGCCCCTCTGTGGCTCGACGAGGCAAGGCGTGCAAGCATGAGGGGCAGGTGCGACGGCGGTGGATCGGTTGGTTGGCGGCAGGTGGGATGGTGGCAGGTGGGTTGGCGGCAGGTGGGTTGATGGCAGGTGGGTTGGTGGCAGGTAGAAGGGTGGCGGGTCAGGGTGTGAGGCGGAAGTCATTCTCCTTGGCCCTGTGATACAGCACTGCTGACGCCTCAAGCCTGAGACGCAAGGAGGGACGATGAGGGAAGTGTGGGGTGGCGAGCACGGAAGGAGGCACAGGGGCAGCATGTGCATGTTTGTGGGATGGAAGGGGGGATATTTGAGAAGCAGGAGGGGAAACGATCGTAGCGGAACACTGGCTTTGGGAGCGAGCAAGCAAAGCCAGGAGCCAGGAGGCACACAAAAATGGAATTGCATGGCATGGCATGGCATCACATCCCATCCCATCTTACCCCACCCCAACCGACCCCACCCCACCCCACCCTTCCCCTCCCCTCCCCTCCCATCCCTCCCCTCCCATCCCATCACCCCCCATTCCGTGGCAAGAAAGGGAACATACCATCCTGGGCGCACCACATGCCGGCCGGAGTTAAGCGCCCACGTCACCTGCGAGGAAAGGCCATTGCGCATGGTTAAAACGGGTGAGGGGAAGCAGAGCAGGCAAGGGAGGTCTAGAGGAGGCAATGCAATATGAGAGAGAGTGTGCAGAATAAGTGAAGCGTCCAGGTTTTACCACCACTCTTTAATTTTATACTCTGCCAAAACCCTGCTAACACCTTAAAAAATCTCCCCCTCTCGCCCACGCTTCCCAACCCTCCACCATTCCCCCTCCACCCAGTCCCCCACAATCTCCAACCCCTTCCCCACCACCCTTCCTTCCGCACCCCACCTTATCAGTGCCTAGCGACAGTGCAACCACGTGCGTGACGGCATCGCAGAGGGTGAGGCTGCACACAGCCCCAAACTGCTCCGCCAGGCGCCATAGTGGGTGCGACCGCGCATTGGCCTCGCCCACCTGGGATTAGAGGGGGACGGGTGGGGGGGGAGAGGGAGGGAAGGAGGAAGAGGGGGAGAGGGAGCGAAGGAGAAAGAGGGGGAGAGGGAGCGAGGGAGAAAGAGGGGGAGAGGGAGGAGAGCAAGACGGAGGAAGCAGGCGGAAGTAGAAGGAAAAGGGCAGAGAAGGAAGAGGGAAGGGGGGGAAGAGGGGGAGGAGGAGGGTGGCGTAACAGGAGAGCGCGGTGGCAAGATGGAGGCAGTTTGCCGGGTGAACAGGAAGATAAACAGGAGGATAAACATGAGGATAAACGATTTGGCAAGAGGGTGAACATGACCAGGGCATGGGTAGGGTACGTAGTGAGGGCAAGGAGTGACTACAGCAGCCACAGACGCGGCAACAGGCTAAATGAAACAGGTGGAAGAAACGAGGAGAAGAGATGGGTGCGACGCACATAAGGTACAGCACACTCATTGCATGGAAAGGCATACCAGGGGGCAAAAGGAAGGACAAGAAACAATCACCTTTCATATTCTCTTAAACCAGAGCTCACTACTGAGAATCGGCCAGCAGAAGGAGGAGAGGAGCAAGGAGGAGGGCAGGGAGGGGCGCACCGGAAAGATTCGTGAGAAGACGATGCAGCAGCCGGCAAGCACGCGGCGCTGCTGCTCTGCGAGAATACTGCGCACGTCCAGGTGCTGCTGCAGCATGCCGCGCTGCCGGCTCGCGAAGAACGACCCATGGATGCGCTCCAACACCTGCGGGGTGGCAGGGGGAGGGGGGCACAAACGGGGTGACGGGGAAGGAGCAGTGGATTCCGAGGCGTTAAAAAACTAGCTGCTGCATGCGGCAGCGGCAGCTGGCAAAGAACGACCCGTGGATGCCCTCCAACACCTCGGCGGGGCACACAGGGTGGATGGGAAGGCGGAGGGGGGAGAAATAGTCAGTAGAGGGAGGTGCAAGGCTCTGAAGAACCTAAATCTGGAAATTTTGCGTTTGACCAAAGGGCAGGAAAGGGTGTGGGAGGCGAACACACCAATTTGCCATACCAGGATGAACATGAATAAGGGGATGTGTGTGTGCCATGGCATGGGAGTGCGGTGTGAGAGGAGTGGGGCATGGCATGGCATGGCATCGCATAGCATGGCATTGGGTGAGCACTGACAGTGAGAATGGAGGCGAGCATGCCATCTGCCGCCCTCTCGTCGTGCCCCACTTCCATCAGCGCTGGCCCTGGCAGGCCCATGCTGCGCCGGCTGTGCGGGAAGTACGTGTACCTGGTGGTGCCCGGGCAGGTAAGCAGACGTGTAGGTGGGCAGAGATGCAGGGGTGCAAGAAGGTGGAAGCACAAAGCTAGGAGAAGGTTAAGAGAGGTAGGGAAGAGGGGAAGGGGGGACAGATCCACACGACAACAGAAGGCATGCACGTTGCCGTCCCAGCAAAGTGACAAGGAAAGTCAGTGCCAAACAGGAAGAAAGAGATTCTGCACATGTGTGATACAGGCTGGGAGGGAGAGAGGCACTGCAAGACACGCAAGCCGAGATGGACATGCAGCAACACATAGCAGCATAGGCAGGTAGAGGGGGGCAGGCGGCGGCCGGGGGGGGGAGAGGAGAGCGGGGGGGTGGGGGGAGGAAAGGGGGGGAGTGTGGGGGGGGCGTAACAACAAAGCGGGGGCACAGACCGCTCTACGAGGATGAGATTGCGCGCATGGTGCGGCCAGACAGAGGCGGAGTCGTCCACGATCAGCACACTGGACTCCATCCCCAACACGCCCTCCAGATCCTTGCTCCGCGCCACCACGCCCCCTGCTCCTCCCCCTGCCCCTGCCCCTGCCCCTCCCCCTCCACCCACCCCTGCCCCTGTCCCATCCCCCCCAGCAGCAGCGGGGGATGCAGCGGCAGCAGCAGGGGCGGAGGGCGAGGAGGAGAGGGTGGCGGTGGAGTGGAGGCCCTTGGCGATGATGCGGCTGTGGAAGAGCGTGCCGTGGGGGTCCAGGATGCGCGCCATCTCCGAAGCGTACCACCGGTTGCCCATCGTGTACACGTGCAGCTCAAACAGGCACGCCACCTGGAGGAGGGAGAGAGGGGTGGGGACTCGGGAGAGATGTAGGCGGGAGGGGAGAGGGATGGGGGGGGGGGGGGGTTGGGGTGGACCGAGGAAAGGGAGGGGTGAAAGTGGTACCAGCGGTAGTCCATCGTGCACACATGCAGCTCAAACAGACACGGCACCTGGGGAGGGTGGCGTTTGGCATGGGAAAGAAATGTGGAGGGGAGGGGAGAGGGGGATGTGGAAGGGAGGGGTAAGGGGAGTACCAGTGATTGCCCATCTGTACACGTGCAGCTCAACTCAAACAAGTACGCCACCTGGGGGAGGGGTGGGGGAGGAGGAGGGGGATGCGTGCGGAGAAATGTGGAAGGGAGGGGAGAAGGGGGGGAGAGGGGGGTGGGGGGTGGAAGGGAGGGGTGAAAACTGTACCAACAGTTGCCTATTGTCTACACATGCAGCTGAAAGAGAGACGCCGCCAGGGGGAGGGTCATATGGAAGGAGGGACGGATATGGATGGATGGATACGGGGGGGTATTCCCGGAGGGTGGACAGAGAGGAGGCAGGCAGGCCACGAATAGCAGCATGCTGGAGCCGAGAATACGTGCGTGACGCGTGCATGTGTAAATCCCCGTATCAAGCGGTTGAGTAGAAGCGAAGCAGCACCAGGACGGATGGCACCCACCCGTTGCAGGAACGTGCGCACGCCCGGGCGCAACTTGGTCCACATGCCCATATGGGGAAACCGGAACAGCTCCCTGCCCCCCGTTCCACTGCCCTCCCCTTCCCCCTGCCCCTGCCCCTGCCCCTGCCCCTGCCCCTGCCCCTGTGCCTGTGCCGACTCCTCCGCGCGTTTCCACAGCTGCTGCTGCTGGCGGGTGTGCTGCTTGTCGCGGGCCTCCATGAGGCGCAGCTGGTCCTCCCACTCGGGGCCGATCTCGGAGAACTTAGCGGAGTTGAGCAGGGTGTGGTCCAGGTCCAGCACCAGGCACAGCTTGCCCGCAGCCACCATGCTCTCTGTCTCCGCCATGCGTCGATGCCTCTCCGCTGCAATCCCCGACACCACCCCCGACGCCCCCTCTACCGCCTCCTTTCCACCCACCGCGCCAGCAACCACCCCCGCATCCTCGGCTTTCCCTGCTTTCTCTGCGTCTTGGCCCGCTTGTCTGTCGCGCTGCCCTCTGCTGTCTGTTGGTACCCCATTTGGTGCAGAGTTGACAGCAGGCGTACTGAGCGCATCACGAGCATCGTTGACCCCATCCTCTTCCTCCTCCTCCCCGTCACTGAACCGTTCCTCCAGCCCGCCGTATTGCCATGCAGAACCAGGGCGTGTCACCCCAGGAGTCCCTGCTCCCTCCTCCCTCCTCCATTCCCCACCCGGAAATCCCACTGTGTCCGCTGCTGCTGCTGCCTGCCCTCGCCCCATCAGCCCACTTGCACTGTCCATATTCACTCCAGTAAAAGTAGCTGCTGCTGACGGAACAGCAGCAGCAGCGGCAGCAGCAGCAGCGGCAGCAGCAGCAGCAGTGACAGCCGCAGCGGCGGCGGCAGTAGCAGTAGGTCTACTGGCACCATCCAGCCCATGCGGTCTAGCATATGGGACTTGAACAGACGGCCCTTCCAGCCCCACACTCTCCCGAGACTCCCCTTCCCCTGGAGCAGGCCCTGACTGCATGCCTGGGAGCCTGGGATCCTTCCCCCGCTTCCGCCCAACCACCTGCCCCTCACTGCCTGCCGTTGTGTCCCTGCCTCCCCCACCCAGGGCCCCCCCTCCTGCTGACACGCCCACAGCACCCGACACACTCTCCTCTCCATGCGGAACCAATGCACACACTTGCTCCTCTGCACTCCCTGCACCACTCCCTGCTTCACTCGGCCCTCCTCTCCCTGTCTCACTGCCACGACCTCCTGCTACCTCCCACTCCCCCATGCCCATACCACCCATAACAGCATCACCCGCATCACCAGCACCATCAGTATCGCGCAGCATCCGCTGTCTCTTGCCCTCTCGCCCCTCTGCCCCATCCTCCCATGCTCCTTCACCTTCCATCCTGCCACTGCTCAGCCTCCCCAGCCCCTGCCGCTCCTCCCACTCTTGCTTGGTAATCTCAACACAGCCCTCACCAGCTGCAGCATCCCTTGCAGCACCAGGAAGCTCCCCCCTTACACTTCCACTGCTCTCCATCCCAGTAATGCCGACCAGGTTACTGCTAGAACCAGCCCTATCCGAGGCAGCAGCAGCAGTAGTGTCTGTGTCTGGCGCTGAGCGGAGTCTCTTGCGCGGATCTCTGTGCCGAACCATGTCCTTGGATGCCTCTGCTGCTGCTGTGGGTGTTGCCGACGCTGCTGCTGCTGCTGGTGCTGCTGGTGTTGGTGTTGGTGTTGGTGTTGGCGTTGCACTAGCAGTGGGAGCGACGGCTGCTGCACTTGTTGCGTGTACCGCTGCACCAAAGGCAGCAGCAGCAGCGTGGGAGGCCGTGGTAGCAGCAGCTGAGGCGTGTGCAGAGAGCAGAGGGGTTTGTGGCATGCGTGCATATGGGGGGGATGGGTGAGCGGGTGGCAGTGCGTGCACGGAAGGGGGTGCATGCATCTCAAGAGGAGGGGGTGTGTGAGTGTGAGGAGCAGCGTTAGTAACAGGAGCGGCGTTACTGGGAGGAGGAGGGGGGGAGGAATCCTTGAGCCAAGCTGGTTGATGGTCCGTGGCATGGGAAGGCGTTGCACCATCCCACAATGGAGTGGAACCCAGGGATGCGGAGTGGTGCAGAGAGATGAGGTAGGATAGCAGGTCGGGATTAGACTCCAGAGAGTACTGGAGGGACTCCTGGAGCGAGGAGTGGAGAGAGGATGGGAGAGAGGGCTGGGGAGCAGCAGAATCACTGGTGGCTGGGCCTGGGCCATCTGATTCATCACCCGAAAAGGGATTGTACGAATACCGCACTGCGTCCGCCACTGCCGTTGCCGCTGCCACTCCTGCACCTGCCCCTGCTCCTCCTGCTGCTGCTGCTGCTCCTCCTGCTGCTGCTGCAGGCTGTGCTAGCACTGCAGCCGCTGGTGCTCCAGCTGCTGCTGCCGCCGCTACCATTGCATTGAGCAGATGCTCATATGACCCCTCGGGCCCAACCCCAACCGCCTGTCCCAGCACTGCCAATGCGCCAGGTATATGGGCGGGTAAGGGCGGTGGGGGAAGCATGGTTGGAAGCGGGGGATTCAATCTACCACTGCCACTTCCTGCTGCTGCTGCCACTGTGTCAGCTGATGGTGCAAGCGGCGGCGGTAGTGGTGGTGTTGCTGACTGTGGTAGTGGCGGCGTTACTGACCGTGGTAATGGTGGTGTTGTGGATCGTGGCAGCGGCGGTGCTGCTGCTGCTGATCGGGGTGGTGGGCCGGGAGGAAGTGGTGGTAGCGGTGGCAGCAGCGGCACCATGTTGGGTGGTGCTACCGGTGGGCCCGGTGGCAGCGGTGGTTGCACTGGTAAGTGCGGCTTTGGCTGTGACGGGGGCAATGGTGGCAGTGGCGGGAGTGGCGGCAGTGGTGGGAATGGTGGCAGCGGTGGTGTTGCGGATTGTTGTGGTACCATACCTGTTGCTGCAGCCGACAGCTGCGGCCGCTGTTGTGCATTTGCTTGCAGCTGTGGTGGCGACGGCAGTGGCGGCAGCGGTGGCAGGGGTGGCAGTGGTGGCAGCAAAAGCTGCTGACATATTCCAGGATCTGCAAACGCCGATCCCCCAGCTGCTCCTGCTATGACAGAATCCCCAGCCTGTGCAGGTGACGGAGTTGGTGATGGCAGTCGATACCCTGACGGGCCGGACCCCTGCATGGCTGCTTCATGGTTCGTAGACTGTTCTCTGGCGGAACCTGCTGCAGCTGACGGCCCAGGATGTAGGCCAGTCGCAGCCGGTGCAAGAGCATCGGACGGGTAGTCAGAGTAGCGATCAGGGCCCCCGACTTTATCATACCTACGGCTTGCCTGACCTTCATGCATCTGCTGCTCGCCCTGTCTCCTGTCCTCTTCCCTCCCTTGCTCCAAACTCCCTTGATCCTCATCGGAGGTACCAGTACTGATTACCCTGCTGCTCTCTGCCTTAATGTCTCCCACATAGGCGATCTCCCCGTCCTCAATTTCACCCTCCTCCCGCTCACTCACGTCCTCTCCATCCTTGTCTCCATGCACAATCTTCCCATCATAGACTTCAGTAGCAGCAGCAGCAGCAGCAGCAGGATTACGGGCGGCATCACTACCAGCAGTGCTGGCAGCATCATTGCCACATGCCATTCTAGTGTCCACATGATCATTCGCCCTCACAGTCCTGCCTCCCGTTTCCATCGGCGAATCCTTCATGCCTTCATTTCCCTCTGCACCAACAGCTTCTACTCTTTGCTCTTCTGCCTCTCCTTTTGCACTGCCTCTGTCTTGCACGTGCCCTTCCTCGCCCCCATCTTTCACCCCTTCCATCGTCTTAGCAGTGTCCTTAGACTTCTGATCCTGCTTTGGCCCTTTTGCCTTCTCATCCTGCTTTGGCCCTTTTGTCTTCTTATCCTGTTTTGGCCCCTTCCCCGTCTTATCGCCTTCAGCAGCAGCCACTCCTTTCATCTTCTTCTTTCCCCTTTTCCCCTCCTTCGTCTTTGCCTCCTTTCCCTCTTCCTTCGGCTTTTCCCTCTCCTCCCCTTTGTTCTTCTCCCCCTCCTTCACTTCTTTTAAAACCTCCTCTTCTTTCTCCTCATTCTCCTTCTCTTTCTCCTTCTCCTCCCTCTCCTTCTTCTGCTTCTTCTTCTCCTTCCTTTTCTCCCTCTTCCTCTCCTTCTTTTCTCTCTCCCTCTTCTGTTCCTCCTCCTCCTCCTTCTCACTCACCTTCACCTTCTCCTTGTCAGTCTCCTGCTTCTTTCCCTTGTCGTCCGGTTGTTTCACAACTGCCTTCTCCTTCCCCTTCCCTGCCTCCTCCTTCTCCTTCTCATTCTCCTTCTCCTTCTCATTCTCCTTCCCTGCCTGCTTCTCCTCCATCTCTAAGTCCTTCTTCTCCATCTCTTTCCCCTTCTCTTTCTCTTTCCCCTTCTCCTTCCCCACCTCCTTCTCCTTCTCCTTCCCCGCCTCCTTCCCGCTCTTCCTCCCCTGCGCCTCTCCAACCTCCTCCAGCCCTATCCCCAGGTCCACATCCCCCTCCATTTCGTCCCAGCTGCACACGCCGCTGGCCCACGCCATGCTGTACATATTCCTCATCGAAGCAGACCCTCCACCACCAAGCGAGGGGGCAGATGCAAGCGAGGGAGCGGCAGCGGTGGCGGCAGTGGGGCTAAGGGATGGCTCAGGCACAGCAGGGGAACGAGCGGCAGGAGTGGAGGATGGGCGAGGGGAATAGGACGACCCGGGCCGGGAGGATCTGGGGTTTGAAGAAGAGTGGTGAGTGAAGGAGCGTCGACCAGAGGAACTGGGGCTGAAGGCATTTAAGTGAGAGTATGCGTGGCTGTGGTTTGGAGGACTGGAAACGCGAGGGCTGGACGGATGAGGACTGGAGGAGCGGGGAGAGGGAGATGGGGTTCTAGAAGGAACGCGGGAGGTTCGTTGGTTAGTGGATGAAGAGCGGTGCAAAGCCTTGGACGGGACAGTGAGACGGGGTGATTGCGAATCGAGGGGTAAAGGAGGACGCCTGGGAGGAGGAACAGCGTACACACTAGCAGAAGCATCACCGGGAAACTGAGCGTTTGTCTGATACGATTCAAGCATATGACTGGGCGTAAGCACAGGGTTGGAGGCTGAGGGGGGGGTAGGCGAGTAAGAATGAAAAGGTTGCACAGCAGGAGAGGCGGAAGGTAGGTGAGAGGTTTCCATGGTAGAGGAAGGAAGGACGGAGGACGAAGGGGAGGTGAGTGCAGTGACCTTCCACGTGAATTTGAACGGAGGGTTGGAGGAAGTACAGGCTGCATGGCTTCCGGTGGTGGTGGCGGTAGGGTTTACTAAGGAAGCAGTAGGGGACGGTGTGGGTGCGGATGGGGAGAGGCCAGACATGTGTGATGCGGATGGTTCTGTGGGAGATTGAGCATAAGCCAACCTGGACGTATGTGACAGTATCAAGGGGTGAGGTGGTGGCGATGGCTGTGACACTATGAACGAGCTTGACTGCGACAATGGCGAGGGATTCGACAATAATAAAGGATGGTGAGAGGAATTCGGCAGCGACAGTGGGAAAGACGACGATTGGATGGAAGCTGGTACTAGCGACGTTGCAGGGACAGACATGACTGTCCATTGCCCGAGAAAGCCGGATGCCGAATTCGAAGGCGATGGAACGGATGTTTGCATCGAGGACGGTCCCAGGGTGTCAGAGCCAATAAGGACTGGACGAAAGGAGAAATTCGCATCCGCGCAATTCGCGAAAGCGGGCTGAGAGCCTGCGCGTGGAATATGGAATACTTCCGATGGCGACGGTTGAGCGGTGGCTGGAAGGCCGCCTGAGACAGAAGGCGCGGAAGCCACTGAAGACACGGACGAGAGCAGATTGATGGATGGGGGATACGCGTTGCCGTAGCCGCTTGCGTTTCGATCGTCTACTCCTCTCATCATTGCTGGATGGACTCCTGATTCTCTGTAAAAAGAGTTCGTTTCTTTTGTCAGGAGTAAATGATTCCTTAGAAGATTGAAAAGATTCAGCAGTTCGCTTACACAAATAATAGTCGTTCCTTGAAAACTAATGCTTACCGTCGCATAGTCGCGTGTGTGTCAGGGACCGTCACCATGGCTCCCCTTGCTAAACTTTCAGCTGGAGGTTCCTTAGTCGTGGATCTGAAGAGCATGCATGGAGGGGGGGGGTCATACACCTCTGGTTAGGGGGAAGCTTAGAGGTTGGTTTGGTTGGTTGGTGCTTGCTTGTTGGGGGGTAAAAAGTAGCTGCTTCAAATCGCCGGATGACGTTTCGCTGTCAGATTTTCGCAAGTTCCGCGACTGTTACGATTTAATCGTACTGTAGCAAGTTCACGATCATTCTACTATATACACTATCCAGTTGCTAACTTCAACAAAAGAGGGCAACTACGATACTGTAACAAACATGAACAAATAACTGAAGTTCTCATAACTCCCAGGTGTTCCCAAAGCACTGTTCCTGATGAGTGATGCCAGCAAATGATCTATGTCCTGTTACTTCAGTATAACCAAACATAAACAAATCACAATGTTAGTAGTAGTCATTGATGCGCTGTCGTTCCTGCGATCAACTGAAGAAAGACTTGCAGGTTCCTACGTCCCCTTATCAAGGCATGTCGATGTGGCTCCATGCTCATGGTGAGCTCCATGGAACCATTACATACACGTTGCCCAACAGGCACCTGGTTTGTCCGGCTGTCTACATGATGCTCTTCTTCAGGCAGTCCTCCACTCAGTGTCTTCCTGCCTGAGTCAGCTCGCTGCAACACGTAATGTAATTTGCTATCCTCGTGTTTGCTGCTACCTGCTTCATTGTGATGTCTTTCCCATGATGCCTGGCCAGATGGAGCCTCCACCAGCTGCCACCTGCGCATACAGGGCAGCACCAGCCTACCATAGCCAGGGAGGAAAAGGAACGGATCACCGGGCTGTGGCTGGCTTGTGCTTTCTTTAAAAGACGGTGAATCCTCTGTGACTGCTCCTCCCCGAGCTTCCTCTCTCAGAGCCGTACTCGCAGCATCCCATCGCGCCAGCAGCTGCACTGAGAAATTTAGTATGTTGGTTCGATGCCTGCATTGAACAATAGACGCAATCAGATGACCGGAATCTGTCAGGTCAAGTCGAATGTCCTAATGTTCGAGCAGGTAATGAAACGAGATCATCGTTTTGTGATGTGTTGCACACTCACTCGAGGCTCAATTGAACAGTGCCGAGACGCAGGTCAACGTTCAGCTGAGGAACGGGCATGGTGACGTCAGCATGGAATTCGCTGACTTGAGGGAGAAGATTGACATCTTCCAGGGGACGAGAGAGCGAAGCTCGCGTGAAGGATAACACTCCTGCGGTAAGTTAGCGTACGAACACATTCATAGAAAGGTCAACAGAGAATCTCGTCAATCAAGCCGGAACAAAAAACTATCATCATGCTTCTGCTTCTACCGTCGACGCACGATCGAACCGGCGGGAAAAAGCGGAGAAAAGCAAAAGGATCCAGAAAAAAATAGCAGGAACGCTTGAAGGACGCGGCTGAGACTGACCTGCAAGGAGAATGACGAGAAGCGCTAGTCGGTGAGCCATTGTACCCGTATAAGAACGTGCGCGTCGTCTTTGCAGGAACGACCAGTCAGCGGTTGTTTGTGTCTCTAAACAGATCAAATTTCGGGAATACTACGCAGACACACTGAGCGGCGAATGTTTAACACTGTCCTGGAGACGAAGCAGCGCCGCTATGGTTGGTGCTCCCGTTCGCTTCTCGAGGATGAGAGGCCCACAGGAGGGGCCGACAATAAGTAGCAGTGCATATCAGCGGACAAGCTCGCCACCAGTTGGGCGGTCCATGGCAGGAAAGGGAGCTGTCTGGCGGCGATCCCAATGTGGAGTGGACTGGTCACCTCGTGTTTTTCTGTCCCCCTAGCAGGGCTCTCGGTTCAAGGGCAAACATCCAGAATGCCAGGTACATTCGGGATGTTTTGAGCTGGAATCCGGATTTTGATAGGGCCGGTTTCACAAACCTCCTGACTGTGTCCGAGCATTTTCTTCCGGGCCGGGACTCGGGGCCATCCCCATGGGCCCGAAAATCATCCTGACAGGCAAACCAACTGTGCGGATTCGCCCTAGAGCTCTTCAATGTGGCAGCAACTTGCATCGTGATTTCTCCCACAGCAGATAGTTCTCCCACCCTCCAACCAGATTGTTACGGTTCAATTGCTACTTGTGAGTTCTCGGGCGGGAGAGCCCTGATGTGTAGTGGGAGGCAGCTAGTGTTTAGTGTCAGAATGTCTGGTACGTGACACTTAACATCAACGTTAAATTGTGCTTACTGTTTTTGTGTATTTTGATGCTCTAAGACGCCTCGTGTCGAACAATCCTGCCTGTGCGAAGTGGGAATATGAAAGGCTTCAGGAGAATCCTGAAAAACAGAGGGACTTTCCCGGGAATGCTGAATTTTCAGGGTCTTCTGTGAGGCGAACCCTGTGCCCTCCGGCTCCCGTATAACGAAAAAAAATTAGCCCTGCCCCCTAGCCATTGTTTCAAATTTGTTCGTTTCGACGCTTGTGTCGGTGGTGATGTGGTTCTGGTGGTGCTACGGAGCTTGCCCCTTGGGGCCACCACAACCAGTCAGAGGCTGGTGACAGCATGCATAATAGCTGTGTTCACACTACAGTACAGGAACCACAACAAAGCCACTCCACTTACACGTTTTACAAACAGCGCCGTAAGGAAACAGTCACTTGTACACGAGGCACTATACATCTACAAAAATAGAAGAGAAGAGGTAAGAGATCAACATCTATGCCCAAATCAAACCTTCTTCTATTGTATTTAGATATTGGTTCTTGATGTTGGGGAGGAAAGCTGTCCAGTCTCCAGACCACGAAATGGCATTTTTATCAAATCTCTACCAAACATGACTTATTTGCACGCAAAAAACAACTGAGAGCATCGGCTAAGCATTACATGTAATATTGCCCACATTCCATGACCAAACAGAGGCACTATTGTCAAATGTAACTTAGGTTGTTACTGTAGACTATACTGGATTGTGCCTTAGAGGGTACAATACCCTAGTCTATATATCCTTGTACACACACATTCTAGTTCAATCATTTTCTTTCTGATATGGTATCATAGTAGGTTAGATCCCCCCCTAGCCCGCTCACGCTTCCGCCCCTACGTTCCTAGCCGGCACCCTGTCCGTCGCGCTCGTCCCTAGCCGGCCCCCTGGCCGTTCGCGCCTAGCCGCCCCCTTGGTCGTTCGCGCCTGTCCCTAGCCGGCCCCCTGGCCGTCGCGCCCGTCTCTAGCTGGCTCCCTGGCCGTCGCGCTCGCTCCTAGCTGGCCCCCTGACAGTCGCGATCGCTCCTAGCCGGCCCCGTGACTGTCGCACCCGTCCCTAGCCGACCCCTGACCGTTCGCGCCCGCCCCTAGCTGGCCCCCTGGCTGTCGCGCTCGCCCTTAGCCGGCCCCCTAGCCGTCGCACCCGTCTCTCGCTGGCCCCTGGTCGTCGCGCCCGCTCCTAGCCGGCCCCCTGCCCATCGCGATCGCTCCTAGCCGGCCCCCCCTGACCGTCGCGCTCGCCCCTAGCCGGCCCCCTGGCCGTCACGATCGCTCCTAGCCGGCCCCCCTGACCGTCGCGCTCGCCCCTAGCCGGCCCCCTGGCCGTTCGCACCCGTCCCTAGCCGGCCCCCTGGCCGTTTGAGCCCGCCCCTTGCCGTCGCGGCTGCTTCTAGCCGCCGTCGCGGCCGCTTCCTGTCGTCCCTCGGCCGCCCTTAGTCGTCCCGGCCGCCCCTCGCCGTTGTGGCCGCCCCTAGCTGCCGGCGCTGCCGTTTCCAGCCGCCTCACGGTCGCTCCTGCCGTTGTGGCCGCCCCTCGCCGCCGTCACGGCTGTCCCTGGCCGCCGTCGCGGCTGCCCCTGGCTGTCGTTGCGGCTGTCCCTGGCCGCCGTCGAGGCCGTGTCTACTTGCCGCCCGCCGGCCGGCCCCTGCATTCGCGCCGTTGCCGGCCCGCCGCTGCCTCGGGTTCGGCCCGTTCTTCCCGATCAGCACCGCCCTCTGAACCCCCCCCGGTACTGTACTGCATCGCTTTGCACCGCACTGCACCGCTTTGTACCGCACTGCACCGTATTGCACTGCATTATACCGCACTGTACCACACTGCACCGCTTTGTACCGCACTGCACCACAGTGCACCGCACTGTACCGCTCTACACCGCACTGCACAGCACTGCACCGCACTGTCCTACTCTATACTGCCCTCTATTGTCACTCATGGCGGCGGTGCTTTGCTTTGTTGCTGAGGGCCAGCCGATTGAGTTTGATGCGTGGCTTGCTGACCTCTGTCGCCATCTCACTGGTCAGCGGCAGGATGGCCACTCGCTGTCTGTCCATCTTGATGGTACCCTCCCCCGCCCTGACCCCCCCGCTGCCCTCTCTTCTGACCCCTCGTCCGCTGAGCGTGAGTCCGCTGCAGCCGCTGCCCTTGCTCGCTCTATCTGGCTGTCCTGTAACGCTGTTGCACATCTTGCTATTAGCAATGCCCTCTCGCTGTCCGAGCGACCTCGCTTCAGGTCTATCACCACTGCCCAGGCTTTCCTAGATGCTGTTGTCCAACGCTATTCCACCCCGCCTGCTGCCTCGGTCGGTCGTCTGATCCTCCCCATGCTCTTTCCTGACCTTGCGTCGTTCCCCACTGTCGCCTACCTGGCCGCTCACCTGCGCACCATAGCCGAGACCTGGCGTGCTGCCTGCACCCCCACACAGCTTCTAGCCCACCAGCCGCCCCTCACCTCTACTCTCTACCTGCTAGCCACCCGCCTCCCTGACCGTCTTGCCACTGCCCGTGACCGCTTTCTTAGCGTCCACCCCGCAGACCTTACCCTCCCTGACTTTGTTGACACCCTGTCCGCTATAGAGGCCTGCCACCGCTCTGTCGCTCAGACCAGCGGTACTGTGCCGATCCCTATCTTTCAGGGTTGTGTCCCCGCTCAGTGCACCTTCTCCGATGGTTCTGTTGCTGTGGCTGAGACTGCCGCTGCCGTACAGGTTCGTCCGGGGAAGGGTCGCCGCCCCAAGGCTGGACGTGGCGACGAGGGTGGGGGTGCGGGTGTAGGTGGTGCTGGAGTTGGGTCACTTAGTGGTGGTGCTGACGCGGGGACCCTGCCAGGTGCAGCCGAGCAGCCGTCTCAGCAGTCGCCGGTGTTGCCGCCGGACCCGCGCCAGCCGCAGCAGCCGCAGCCGCCGCAGCTGCAGCCGTCGCCGCAGCCGCAGCAGTCGCAGCAGCAGCAGAGGCGGACGAGTCGTCTTCCGCCTGGATGGCCCGGCGCTGGTGGCAGCGCTGGATGTGGTGGTGGTGCGCGTGGTGGGCTGCTGAGTGGTGGTTCGGGTGCCGCGCGCTGTTAGTACCTGCTTCAGACCGGTCCTCACCGTGGCTTCGTTTGCGGTAAGATCGGTCATACCTCCGTCCGCTGTTTCCGTCGCCTGGACGACCTCTTTCGTCAGCGTTTCGGCCCGTCGCCCGAGCTCCCTGACTGGCACAGCTTGCTTAGTCGTAGGGTTCAGATTTTTGATTTGGACATGGATGAGATAGTTGCTGCTCTGCATGTGATGTATGCTGATGACTCTAGTGTGCTTCCGTCTTATTACCCCTTGTTGCCTAGTGTAGGTGTGCCTTCCTTAGACTCCCCTGCTGTGTCAGGCGTAGGATCCCCTGCTTTGTTTAGCCTTGGTGCTTCCGTCGCTACTTCGCCTCCGGCCGCCACTGCCACGCTCTCCTTCACCCTCGACTCTGGCGCTTCCCGGTGCTTCTTCTGCGACTCCACCACGTTGACACCGCTTCCTGTCCCTACCGCCGTCTCCCTGGCTGACCCCTCCTCTGGCCCTGTAGTCGCCCGCAGTTCCACCACCCTCCCCTGCCCGGCGGTTCCTTCAGGCTCTCGCACAGGCCTCCACATCCCCTTGTTTTCAACGAACCCAGTTGGTGTCGACTGCCTCCAGGACCTTGGCGTCACCACTACGTTCCCTGGTCACGAGCGGTACGCTGTCTGTATCGAGGCCGCCTCTGGTGCCCCCCTTACCATGTTACCCCGTGACCCGGTGTCCGGACTGTTCACACTGGACAATGTGACCCCCCCGGCTGGGACTCCCCCTCAGGTGGCTGCGTCTACCCAGGTTGCTGCTGCTTGCTCCTGTCGGTCACTCACCCACCTGACTCTCCTGTGGCACCACCGTCTAGGTCACCCTGCGCTCCCGCGTCAGCGTCACATGTCACAGCACGGTCTCGTCCTAGGCCTCCCTGGGTCGTTCTCTGAGTTTCCCTCCTCCCCTGCCCCACCTTGCACGCCTTGTGTCGAGGGCTGGCTTCGCCGTGCTCTTCACTCCTCCTCTTTTCCCCCTACCGCCGCACCGCTACAGACTCTGCACATGGATGTCTGGGGCCCCGCCCCCGTCCATGGGCCGCGTCGAGAGCGGTACTTCCTAGTGCTTGTCGACGACTACACGCTCTATACCACTGTGTTCCCCCTGGAGCGGAAGGCCGACGTGCCTGACGTTCTTATCCCGTGGCTTATCGCTGCGCGTGTCCGTCGCGGTCTCCCTGTCTTGCGCCTCCACTCCGACCGTGGTGGCGAGTTTGCCTCTGGTGTCCTTGGTCGTTTTTGTCGTGCGGAGGGCATCACCCAGATGTTCACCTTGCCGGGCTCCTCGGAGCAGAATGGGGTCGCTGAGCGCCGTATCGGTTTGGTCATGGAGGTGGCTCGCACCTCCATGTTCCA